AAAAAAAAAAAAAAAGCTGAGCATGGTGTCAGGCACCTGTAACCCCAGCTACTTGGGAGGCTGAGGCAGGAGATTCACTTGAACCCAGGAGGTGGAGGTTGCAGTGAGCCAATATTGTGCCACTGCACTCCAGCCTGGGCAACAGAGTGAAATGCCGTCTCAAAAAGAGAATAAACATACCAACAAAATTTTAAAAACTAATGTGGAAGAGAAAGTTGTAAACAGTAGTAATACAATATAGTATGATATCAAACTATAGGGTTACAAATACTATAGTATAAGAAAAATTAAGAGAGAACATTAAGTATGACTAGAGGGATCTTAGAAGTCATCATCAAAGAGACAATATTTGATGTGAGTCTTGGTGGGGGAAGATTTTTCAAAGAAATGAAGAGCCGGATGAAGAAAAGCAAGTAAAGAACATCTTTAGGAATTAGCCACCACATAGAATGAACGAGGACCCACAAGGCAGTGAAAAAATAGCCTTGGAACAAGTAATGGAAGGCCTTGAATGTTACTAAAGCATTTATTTTGTTTTCTAAAAGTAGCAGAGTTCTGAAGCAGGGAGGTAAATGACTGAAACTAAGAAGAGTACAAAGTCAGGCGGTAAGTGATAGGGAAAACACTAGTTATCTATTATAATGATCCTAGGGAAAGATGATGAAGGTCAGAACTAGGACAATAGAGATGCAATAGAGGAGACAGATACAAGAGATACTGCAAAGGTAGAATGACAGGACTTAGCAAATGACTAGACACAAAGAGGGAAAGTACAGGGATAAGATTACGATGTCACCAAAGATTTTAGGCAAGGGTTTCTAGGAGAAAGACCGTACTTTTTAAAAGCTTTCTTTTCTGTCCCGATTTGGTTTTTGAAAACAGTTCAAATAAGTAATACTCTTCTCTGATAATGTCTAAAGTCCATTAAAAACCCATAGTTGTTTCTATTTTAGTATCAAAATCATGTAAGTTACACTGTCACTTAATGATGCCTAGTGTTAAAATACTTTCAGCAGTATTTTCATTGCTATTTGAGCCTCTACGGTCACACACATTTCTGCAGAAGTCAAATAGAAGGTAAAAGGTATTTTCCCCTCATGAAGTGAGAAAGCAGAACATATATAGTAATTCCTTAGTATCTGTGGGAGAGTAGTTCCAGGACTTCCCACAAGTACCAAAAATCCACAGATGTCCAAATCCCTGATATAAAATGGTGTAAGATTTGCATATAACCTATGTACGTCCTCCCATATACTTTAAAGTATCTCAAGATTACTTAAAATACCTAATTACTTATAATACCTAACACAGTGTAAATGTTACATAAACAGTTGTTGTACTGGTTAGGGAATAATGACAAGAAAAAAGTCTGTACATGGTTCAGTACAGATGCAATTATTTTAAAAAATATTTCCAATCTGCCATTGGTTGAATTCACAGAAACAGAAGACTGACTGTGTAACCAATCTAAATCTATGTGAATTTAAAATGTTCTATTTTTGATTAAGTCATTTTGCCATTAAAGAAATCTGAAAATAGACTGACATAAAGTATATTAGACTAGAATGACTGAATGAATTCAATTTCCTTATTTTGGCTGCAATCGTTGAAAAAAAATAAAAGAGCAGCAGTAACAACAAACTCACTGATACTTATACAAAAGTGTTCATTAACTACAGAAGTCAAATAATTTGAAGAATTTACTTGTTTAGATTTAGGACAAACCATAACATACAATGCATTAAAATAATCTTATGCAGCCGGGCACACTGGCTCATGCCTGTAATCCCAGCACTTTGGGAGGCCAAAGCAGTTGGATTGCTTGAGGTTGGGAGTTCAAGACTAGCCTGGCCAACATGATGAAACCCCATCTCTACTAAAAATACAAAAATTAGCCAGACGTGGTAGCACACACCTGTAATCCCACCTATTCAGGAGGCTGAGGCAAGAGAATCGCTTGAACCTGGGAGACGGAGGTAGTGGTGAGCCTAGATCGCACCACTGCAATCAAGCCTGGGTAACAAGAACGAAATTGTTTCAAAAAAAAAAAAATTATCTTATGCTTCAAAAAGGATTCCAAGTGAAAAAAAAAACTAAGTATACGTAAAAAAAATTAACATGCTTCTAAGAACAAAAAATAAAAATTCTTAAGATGTGTAAACCTGAAAGAGAACGTGTTCTTTCTCTGACATCCTTCTGCTCCTTTCAAAGAGAAAGAATAGGGACTAGGTGACTAAAACCACAAAGTAAAGACTGAAAG